GCGTCTAGCAAATAACTTACAGTTGAGTAAATATATTCCACGTGAAATTTAATACATTAAGCTAATGGAAATTAATTCTCTAGTTAGGCGATATTATATCAACAGATTGGAGACAGGAAAACAAGAGCTTTTACAAAAGTTGAAGAACACATGAAGGCTGCTATTGTTTTATATATCTCTGAAGGTTGGGGATAATTTCTATGCTCTCATAATGTTTCTCATTCTTGGTGTGATGAAACTGGTCAGCAGATAGAGATTGATATTCAGGTCCCACCTGAGCCAGGGTTTTGTTTTCTCAAAGTTTACATCATGATTACTGTGTTAAAAAATGAAGTAGTGATCATTAGAAGCCTTATACACAATCTTCTATTCAATAATCTGGAAATAGAAAGAAAGAACATCAGAGAAAGTATAACATGAGATCTATTTTGTTCTGGGGTTTCTCTTCAGCTGCATATAACTCGTTGAATTCATTATTACAGCTTGTATGCAGTTGAGGAGAAACCATGAAATGAACTGCATCCAATCTTTTTCTGCTCTAATATTTGTTCTTTCCCTTTTTTCTAAACCAGTGATCAGTTTGTCTAACTCATCCGGTTTTGCAAGAGGCACTCAGCCATCCAGTGAAAAGCATAGTGCTGGAGTCTCTGACTTCATTGCCACTTGAGGTTTATCCCGAATCTCTCTCTCTCTGTGAAAGTGTCGATACGTAAGAAATTCAAATCCACAATTCCCTGTCTTACAACTCAGCTGATAAACAGTGATGTGACTAAAAGCTATGCTTCCATTAATAAAGTAACGTAACATCAATTTAGTTGGGCGGTGAATAGAATTCAGACTGCTCGATCTACAGACCAAGTGTTTAAATTACACTGTTAATTATTAACACCTTTGAAATGAATAATTAAAGGGATAAATATATATGCACACTGTAGTGTAGTATTATTCTTTGACGTTATACTTCACTGGCATACTGCCACGTAAATCAATAAAATGGATACAACTAACCAGTAGGAATTAAAATGTCAAAGTCAGTCACCCCACCGTCATACGAAACCAGGCCATGGGATATTGTTATAAGCAGTTCGATGAATATAAAGTTCAGTCATTGGGGTGGTATGAAAGATTCATATTTCTAAATTGTGTGAAAGACTGAAAAGTAAAATGAAATATGCTGCCGACATGTTTAATATTGTATTAGTAAGCATTTTGTTTGTTATAACAATGCATCTATCTGCCTCTTAGAGAATCTTAAGACTTCGACTGCCTAGAACAGATGATTGGTCTTAGTTTAGGAAGCTATGATGATACCTGTCGATAGGCACACTTTAGGTTTCGACTGTAACTTACAAACAACATAGATACAGTATCATTGCGCGACCACGGGGATAGAATTCTATGATTGATATTTCTGAATTTTTGTTGACCCCTTATATAAACACTATACTAATTCAGTGTCACAAGTTGTTACATAGAATGATCACCGACTTTACTGGGAATCAGAGATGGACATTAAATACTATGAAATCATAGTGGAGATCTAGAACACTCAACACAAGAAACACGATATGAATTTTCAGTACTAACATCAATCCAGTGTCTTTAAAATGTTTCAGGAGCGCCTCCAAAAGACCGCCACCTACCCTCGATACTGAAGTTCAGGTGACCTGTTGGAAAGGATAAACAGGTGACAAGTAACTGTAGCATAGAACCAGTCACTAGTCCATTATTCAATAATTATGCAGAAGGAAATGGAGATAGATTGAACTTACTCTGAGAAGACCATTGAATGACATCACAAGCCGGTCCCTCGAGTGGAGTCCGAATGGGAAGCAATCGATGAGCTCGGAGGTGGGTCCGAATCGACATAGAGGGTTTCATGTGAAGAAGAGGTGAAATCTTGTGGGCAATTGTGAAACCTACTAAAAATGCTACAGAGAACAAAGTGAAATGACGATTTGCTGTTGAAGCAATATGCTCCACTAGAAAGCGAAGGGAATAATAAATAGTGTGAAGATGTGGTTTACTGGCTTAGACAGTCGACTTTCAACCATTCAGTGGTCGCGGATTCGAATCCTGCCTCGACTAATTCAACCTGGGTAACTGACTAAGTGGTATCATCAGAGCTCACATGGTGTGTTCAAAGGTAACAGATAACCAAACACTATTAATAGTGAGCAAGTAGGTGTTTATTGATGACAAAATGCAATGTAAATTAAAGAAATCAAAAACCTAAAATTCATACCACAATTTGCAAGTAATAATAATATTCCCATTTTGCTGTTTATTACTGGATTCCTCGCATTCTGTTCTCACCCTCTTTCCTTTGTGTTGCTTCTTCATAGACTTTTTCAATGACATACAAATTATCATGTTTTCTCTCAAGGCATTACTAGATATACTACTTATATCTATTTATCAGTTATGTACAGCACATCAGTAATAGTAGTAGGTGGGATTGCGGGTGGAGGAGGCGGCGGAGACTGTCACAATAATATGATGATGATGATTCTGTGTATTCCTAGTCTCATGAATACAGAGCTTTTAAGGTGCATACGAATTTTGATTTAAGGAAGCCAGTTTAGTCAATTAAAATTCTTTGACATATTTCATCCGTGACACTGCATCCATTTCTCCCAGAATATTTTTCACTTCTTGTTTTCTAAATAGAGCATAGGGCTGCTGACTTTGAAGATTCAGTAGCCATAGTGTTCTTTTTTTACGGGATGGAGCTGCTAGCATCACGCTAAACCTTCTCTCTTTTCCGAGCTTACTGTAGTCTAGTGAGCTAGGCGAGGTGCAGAAGTGCTGCGGCTGGGAATCGACATCTAACGTCTTTCTCGGTTGATGAACTTTCTATCACTAGTTAAAAGGCTGGTACATATTTTCAGTGGGTTTCTTTCACTGACCTACACCAGTCTAAAAGTATAATCTTAAAACAATTGTCCAAGTGTAAAGATGTTTTAACTATGGTTTAGAATTTGTCATAAGCGTGATTTCGTCATCTCGTTAAGGTTCTCTAACTGATATTAGTTCGTGATCTTACTTGAAATCGTGTAAAGGACTGGAGACATCAATGTTGGGCTAGCTGGTTGGGGGAAGGAGGGCGGCCATTACCCTTCATCTGCAGGATGGATCATGGTCCGATATCTCCCAACTAATAATTGCTGATATTTGCGCTGTGTCGCTTAATATCTGTTCTTGACGAAATACTACAATGAAACCAGTTAGCTTCGGACTAGTCACACAAGTAAATAAATAGAAATGATTATTAACCTCTATTAGAGAACATCGTATATATATATATCCATTAATTTCTACGAATTCGCTCGTAGCTCAGTTGGTAGCGCACCATACTGACAATCACTAAGTCAGGAGTTCAAATCCTACCTTGACTTAAATTTCCACAGCATCTTCCGTTATTCCCCATTACATAAACAACTGTTTGACAGTTACAAATAGTCTCGTCATCAAGGGTTATTTTAATGAAGAATATTTGTTGACCATTGCATGGATTATTATACCATGGTTGTCATCACCGTTGAATTAGGTCACTTCACCAGTATTTCCTTATTTTCATACAAATTTAAAAGACATTAAATCCCTTATCAAAATCACTAGTTCCCTGTTCCAATGTAGATTTCATTACGAACTGGTATCGTTTTGAGAGAACTACTGGTAAGCGAAGAATAATGGACAGGTTCTTTTTTCCTAAATTGGGACTAGTGTGCACCCACAACCCTATGGAGATCGAACACAGTAGCTGAAGGTTGTGAGGTGAGCATGCTGACCACTCAACCATGAATTATAATTTGTGACAATTCGGGTTTCCGCGTTGACATCGATCAAATTCCTACGATCCGATAACTGGACGTTCATCATTTTATTGCTTCCTTGAAATCACTTAATATTCACACTGTATTTCATTTTTTGTCTTTTATTTTCGGGTGCATATTTTTATTCGAAAATGACCGTTTTATTTTAATAAAAGAGAAGAGGTTCACTCAGTCATAAGGTGGTATTTTAGCATGACCAAATAGGCTTTATATTGATTGTTCATTTAAATGTTACAAAACGAAGGTGCATCATTCTATTGGTATTGATTATTGATTTGACCTGCTTTAAAATAAAACCTGTGTTAGTTAAAATAGAGTTTTCGACCTGTTATTTTAAAGATTACTAATCAATATATTTTTCTTATCACATAATTTAATTTTCAAATTTTTAAATAATTTATTATGATTTGATTCTTGCATCTGGTGAATGTAAGAGTTAATTCTTAGATAATCAAGATTACACCTGAGTGTATGAGTTAATATTCAGGTGTCAGACTTATGGAGATCTTACTGTTTTTGACCCAGTGACTGAATTATCGATGGGCTCATCTCATGACCGAAAGGTCCTGGGTTCTATCTTTAGTGAGTTCATGGGTACACACTGCTCAAGAATCACAAACTAGGACGAAACAGGGTTCCAGTGCTTGCTTTTCATCAGTGGTTTTCTAAACAAACATTTAGAAAATTTTAACTTCTTTGTAAACCTAAAGATGTGTTCATGAAACCATTGGAGTATTCATTAGACAGCCACTTCGTCCGATTCCAGGACTCTTCAGAAACATGATCCTCGCTTATTGACACATTAAGCGTTTGACTGTTGAATTACTTTACCTTTCAGTCACTATTTTACTGGATATTCAGTTAGCTTTGATTTCAAATCTGTCTTATACTCGAATTGATGCATTGATGCGGCTTATGATTTATCATTTCGGAATTCTAAGTGATAATTTTCCAAACTGACTCGGCTTTGCCTGAAAACAAACAGATTACATTTATATTTGCTTTTTAAACATGGATAAACTTCACTGTTGTATTGAATCTTCTGTTACAGTTTTTTTTACTTTGTTTTTTTTTACTCTAATTTTTCCATCGTCCTCTCACCTTCCATTGAACATCTAACCACTTGTATACGTGTGTTTGTATGCATTGACTGCTGATGTTTAGCTGCAGTTAACAAAGAAGGCCGTGATATGCTATGGAATAAAACAGCTGAAGCGATCAAATATATTGCAAAGCATTATATTAATGATTACGATTACTTTTTGAAAGCAGATGATGACTCTTATGTTATTGTCGAAAATCTACGTAAAATTCTATACAAACACAATCCTGATGAACCCTTCATTATGGGTAGACGATTTAAGGTTAGCTGATATTTGTTTTCCTGTTTTATTTTGCCTTATTATTAATGTTATTGTTATTATTCATTTAATGCGTACCGAATAGAGCATAGGGCATCAGTGGTTCTTTCTCTGCAACTACCTTGAACTAGCGCCACAACTTCTCATAGGCGTTCACCTTCTCTTCACATGATTCTTTTCACGTCACCCTCAGACTTACGTGCAACTCGTTGCTTACCTCTCATTCTGGTTCCACTCAGCGTCTGGCGTGAGATTTGACCTTGAAGTTTATTTCCTCAGCGTATGTTCATTTCATTTCCATTTGTTTTCGCATATTTGCTGGGCACCAGGTTCTTGGAAATATGCATCTATTTTGTCTTATGGTAGATTTCATCACGAACAAACATCAGTTAGAGTAGTATTGAAAACTGGGATGCATTAAACATCTGCTTCGTTCTTATTTTGGGCTCTTCATCAGTGCCAGCCAGTCACCCCTCTCCCACTTAGGTAACAGACTTACAATCTTCAGATTATATTGCTAGCCCGTTGATCATCCAGTCATCTAGTGATCCATGGATTCCAACTTCTGTCAATTCACTACATGATATCATCTAATGCTATCGGTGAGTATTTGTCATCAAACTCAACTTTGTTGACACTAGATATCACAACCTGTCACTAGGACTACGGGGAGTGCATCAGCTAGTCAGTCATCTATGAACAGTGGATTAATCTCCACCTGTTGTGTTGTGAATATTTGACTGATTTCAAGTTAGGTGTCATCACAAAATTTACGTCAGTTATTTTTGTTGAATAACACACCCTCAACAGGATATTGGTACCACCTATCAAAGTTGGCATATGTTTCTGAGATGGCTTGATATGTAATTTAGTGATGTGGTGAAGATTCTTTTGAGTTGAAGCTAGTTTGATCGATCTAGTGAGTTTGACCTCAAAAATCAGACTCAGTTAGATCTGACAGTCTCAATATTGTGTGTCAAATCAAGTTTGTTAACTCCATTCACAATCTGTAACTGAAGACCACAATATCATTTGGGAAGAAACTCAGAAAACCGTTAGTAGTAGGTAAACTACATGAAGAATTTATACCATCTCTGAAAAAGTACACACAATCATTTAAATATAAAATGAAGCAGGGTCGAATCAGAGGCTCCATCCCTTAGGACTTAAATATCAAGTAGATAACTCGGTTACATCATAATTGGTACAGAAACACAGTTTGAGTATTTAAACTATCAGCTGTTTGACTTGAAACCTGTATATGAGACAAAGGTGTGGTTTAAGTCCAAGACGGTTGGTATTTCAGAGCAATACCATATTTCTTCTGTTATTCGGCCGAAGTTGTTTACTAAAGAGCACATATCAGATTTAAAATACCCACAGAGCAGTGACAAAATTGTTGTCCTTAGACCAGGTAGGGGTTCTATTGTCGTGATAATGAACCGGCAGGGGTGAAGTCAAACTACAGAAGCCAGCCCTGATGGACCACGCCACTAACCTTGAGCAACTGGTCAGAATTGAGGAGCGATGAAAGTGGCGAATTTGTTAGAAAGATGATTCTAAATCATGATGTTCAGAGATCCTTATATGTTTCTGGTTCTGCTCTATAATTCAGTTTGGTTACACCACCTGCAACTCCATTTGGTTATTGAAGGTCGTGTGCTAAGTTGGCTGCTATAGTTTAACTTTGCCACAGAAGGATTACATTTTTAAAATGACAGTGATACGATGAGATTTCAGGCAGATACGTCAAAAAATACCTATGCAACAACAGCTTTCGAAAACAATGAACACATATCCTAAGGGTTTTTCTAAGAAAGAACTAACTGACTACAATACGTGTAAGGAACTTAAACCAAGAGGTTCACGCATTCCGTTCATGTATGGCCTATCCAAAGTCCAGAATATCAGACATACCAAAGAAATCAGTAATGTCAATGGTGAAATCACCATGCTATAAACTGGGTAGTTGGCTGGTTGGTACAAAAGTCGGAACCAATCGGAAGAAAGTTGGCAGTTCACACTGTCAAAGATTCATTTGATTTTTCATACGAATACTTGGTCAGTTGAATATTTCAGATGAACTCTTGATATCATACAATATTTCTTCATTATTTAAAAATATGGCAAATAAGGAAACAGTGAGAATCATATGCCAGCAGTCTGAAATACTCCCTCTTCCTGAAAATGAGTTCAGACAATTACTAGTCATTTGTACAAAGAATGTTCAGTCCCGATTGAATGACGAGACCAGACGATTTTTGGTATGTCTATGGATTCGTCTTTGGGCCCTGTTCTTGCAGACATACTCATGGCCTACCTTGAATAGATGCAACTGAAATCCGAAATAGAGAAGACAACATATAGCTGGAGATATCTTCACGATGCCGTTGTTGTTCACTGTGATGTAGAGAATGCATCAACCATGCTTGAAAAACTCATCCTCATGTTAATTTTATAGTGGGTTATCAAAGCAACAACCAGCTGAACTTTCTGGATCTTGGCATAAAAGAAAGAAATAGTGGGACCATCGGTAAGACAATCCATAGAAAAGAAACCTGGACGGGTCAATACTTGAGTTACCATAGTTTCAGCCCAATTGATTACAAACGAAGTTCTGTCAGAATACTGTTTAGTAGAGTGAGGGCGTTTTGTTCAGAAGACAAGATTGGTGAAGATCTCATGATTATTGAAAAGGTTCTTTCGGAGATCAAATATCCCAAGAAGTTCATAATGAAATATAGAAGAGAAGAAACATCTAGACTGAAGGCCGTAACTGTTGAGAAGAAATCAGTTTTATTTTCTTGGTGTACGAAGAGGAACAAGCGTCAAGAAGAACAGGAGAAAAGAATCCAAGACTCTTTGAAAAGGATATTTTCCCGCCACTAGACTGATTCCTCTTTATAATACAAAATGCTCTCTAATACAGTCTAAAGTAGATGAGTATCTTGCTCATGTTAACTCTAACTGCATTTACCAATTCACATGCACTTGCGGTATCAAATACATAGGAAGGACTGAGAGGAGAAAATTCACTACAATCTTCTTACGAAAATTAAGACTGTTTGCCACTGTGGTCGCTAGGCAGCTGATTGACACAGAGCATTCAGTCGAAATCAATCAAGCCTTTAAAATAATCAATATACAGAGAAAACCCCAGTTACCTTGGTTTGCAGAAGCCATTGCTATCAAACGATTTCAGCCTAATCTATGTATACAGAAAGATGGTGTGAATTATCTCCCATTGCCCTGGTAACTAGACATCTGTACTGTGTTTCTGTGTTTTTGTTGCGTCACAATTTGTTTTTGACTGCAACTTACTAAACTGAACTCTCTATTAATCTTGCATTTTACTTTATTGTTTGTTAACGTAATAAATTCACTTCTGCTCACCATTACTTTTCACCGCCACCGTCTTCCCTCTAGAGTTCGATCAGATTATGTATAAACAGAGTCTGATTGTTAGATTATTTAACATCTTTTATTTGTGTTTGGTGTTGCACAACTGTGCTCTTTGAGTTGAAATAATTTTGAAGTATGTCTTATATTTATATAATGATATGTCATTTTTTGGCTGGTGGTGGGTGGCTGTTGTAAAGCCATGAAATAAAAAGCATGAACTGTTTTTATCCTGCAAATATGTTCGTCTGGTCTTTGTTCATTATCCATGTCCCTAAACAAACTGTAATTATTAACGTTGACAATGGAAGATATTCTCCTGAAAGTTGAATAAAGTGCGTTGTCTAATGAACTTGGCTAGGCAAATGAGTGTCAGCCTGCATTCTAGCAACATATTTTGCATGGGTGACGTATAATCATCAAATAAAAATAGAATGGACAGTTCACGTTTTTTGGATAACAGAAACAACTGAATTTTAGAATATATGTCAGTTTGGAAATCCTGTGTGGTTTGTTGAAGCAGAGACAATGAAACAGCATATCTAGAGAAACTTACACATAACCTTTACTCAGAATAAAATAATTGTCAACAATTTATCATTTGATGGTGAAACTACTTGTAAGAGCCCTTGATTAGCAGACTATTATCGCCTTAGTGTGTGATGATGATAAAAGTGAAGTGAAACTCTGCATTGTTTAGAGGATTCCAACAGATAACTATCGACTAACTAGGTCCCCACTCCTCCAGTTCAGCCAAGACACCCATATGCTTGCAGCGCCAGAAGATAAGGGAATTGGTAACGGACCTTTTTTAAGGGAAAACACATCGTATTTACACATTTCTAGCCACATTGAAAACCGGTTAGGTCAGCGGACAACAAATCATTGTGATTGGTTGGCGATTGGCCATAGGTTAAACAAAGGGTTAAAAAGTCGTCCAGTGAGAATACTTCATATCCACAACGTTGACCAAATCCAGATTTGAGGAATAAACATTTCTACCTCTACGGCCAATAACTTGAAATGTTGATTTCAGTTTTGGCCGCTTCCTATTAATTTGCATCTATATGCTACGTGTAAGTCTTGTCCGTAGCATACGTCACATGCTAACCAAGTCACTTCACTGCAATCATCAGGGGTGATGACTATCTTATCTATCGTAAATGCTATGTAACTACCAAATAATTATTTCACTGTTCTGGCCTAATAATTACATTGAAAAGTTAAAGTGTTGTACCGTATGAGTTTTGGCACTTCAAAGGGATCTATATTGTCTGTAAAAATAACTGAGACTGTGTGCTATCATTTGAAAGGTGGTTAAACAAATTATTCTGTGTGCGAATACAGAATATCAGTCGGTCACATTACTTAACGCGAAAATAAAACGGTTGACAGATTAGTGAGGATAGTAGCCTTAAGGCCCGTATTAATCTTCTCGATTCGCTGAAAAATTGGGGATCAATTTTGCTTCGAACGAATCATAAAAGCTGCTGATACAATGTGCTCTAGCGGAGAAATCTACCGGTCCACTATTCTATGGGAGTAACGAACTTCCTGATGTGCACGATTTGACCATGATTTTTGAACTTTAAGGTGATTCCCTTTCGTGGGTCAGCTTTTTCATGAGAAAAATAGACACGACAAATTGACACATAAGTCTTTGCGTAAAATGCGGAATCCTAAAGTGACCTGATCCATCAACCGCAAATATCAGAGTGAAAGTAAGTGAAGTCGACTAATCTCTCCTTATATGAGAAGTGGGTGAACCCCTTCATGAATTTAGTCCGCATTCTTTGATTCTCAGATGATGGAAGTCTATAGTGTTGGTTGGTCGGTTGGTCTATTTTCTTAAAGTTATATCAATAATGTCCTATTGTCCAGACTAATCTCTCAATTTATTGATGCGATATATTGTAATTTGCACCTCATAACTCCCCCTTGGAAAAGAGGGAAGGGTGGATGTGAAACTAGAAACCTCATCCCATAGAAACAACACCACTTCTGAAACTTCAAAATGTAAAGTCATTTGTTACACTTGGAACATATGGGATGCAGAACATCATGTTCACTACTTTGTTAGTCATCAGAAGCGTCTGTAATGAAAATACAGAAGTATAATTACGCAGAAACTGTATCCATTTCTCATCATCAGACTGTAAATTATTGATTGTATCATTTGCTTGTCTATAGTTTCCTCTAAAACAATTCATGTCAACTTGAATGAGTCAGTTCAGTTTACTAAAACTTGTTATTCCCCATCCTTTTCTGTCTTACTGAAACTAAATGACTAGTCTGGATTAGTTCACGACTTCTGTCTCATTACGATACTGTTTTTTCTAGCAAGTAGATAGTGGCTAGCAGTAGACTCGAGGTGTGTTTTGTCATGTTCACGACTTTTCAGCTAGACTCACCTACATCTCAGTTAGCAATTACCTTCCTAATGAGGTTCAAATCTAGCTCCTATCATTTCACATACTGAATTGTTGTCTACATCTAAATGAACTAGTTTGATGCTTGGTAAACTGAACTGAATTTTCAGCGTTGAACTTTACACAAGAGTGCAGTAGTTCAAGTTACAATACTTTAATGATAAAAGCTCACATAAGAATAAAGCAAAAAAGAAATGCAAAAGCATTTAATAAACGGAAATGCACGAGAGAAAGAAATAAATATATTCAGAGTAATGAGTATTTAGTGAATCTTGCGAATCACATTGAGTGAATGCATCTACTCCAATGAGAACTCCAACACTCTTCAACCACTGGTACTTGTCATCTCGAGAAGCGCATTGTGGAAAGTTTGCCCATCCTTATGTGGCTAAGACCAATAGTCAAAGACTTCATGGAATGATGCTATATTTTTGTTTGATCATCTGTAACAGTTTTCCAACACAACTCTTAGTCAGCAAACGCTCCTCAGCATGCTAAACACGTGTCTCAGCATTCTCAGTCGATGCAGCTTTACAACCCTATTGATTGAATCCCGTCGTTAGCTAACGGTCTACGCCTAACCTCAATATTAGAGCACCTAACACGAGAGATAGAAGGCAAACATCTATATTTGCTAAAGATATAGAGAGAATATAATTTTTTTAATCTTCAAGATAATAATTAAGAAGAACTTCAATTTCGATTTCATCATGAGCCAATGTCATTCAGAGAATTATTGAAAGCCAGACGAACTTCAACCATAGCAGACAACACTAAGTACCTTCTAGATAATCTTGAACAACCAAACATAGTAAGCCGATGTTAGAACTGGTAAATTTGTTAGTTAACTGTATTCCCTTACAGACAGTTTTATTCCTCTTTAAGTACTGTAATAAACTTTCTCAGTTGATCATAACAGAGAGTCCAACAGCTAGACAAAACTAGGAAACAAGATGAACAGCAAACTACAAAAGTAATACATGTATGGCATTCATGATGAATGATGTGATTAGTCACTTCTGGGTTATTTTGAAGGCTTTTCGGTTGAGTTATTGTTAGGGGCTATTATAATATAACTTCACTATATATATATATATATAAACATAAATGAGCATCCATCAACAATGATGTGTATTGATTCGTGTGCTGCTTATCACTGCCGTTTTGCACGTCTCAATCATAGATTTTGACTTACACAAATAGGATAACTTCAAAGCCACACAAGTTATAATCTGGTGACTGGCATCTAAATCAACCCTACAACAGGAGGCGAGTGAATTTAGCTTGGTTTATTCAAAGGCGATATCTCTGACTGCATTGCTGAACAGCAGTGCTTCTAAAAAGTCTTGTTTATAAGCCGTTAAAGGTAAGAAACCTTGTCACCCTACAGTCGACCCTATGCGTTTCACAGGACATTCGATAGACTGTCTGACTGTTACTCTGGAATCTGTTTATTATGGATTCTTTTACATACTTATAAATTCTCCATTAACCACATTGTGATTTTTATCAGTTTTCTATTCATTTCTGTTTAAACTGTTTACAAGTATTGTACTCACAGTTACTTTTCATGTATATTTTCACTAGCCATATGTTAAACAAGGTTATATGTCTGGTGGCGGGGGTTATGTCCTGTCACGTGCTGGTGTTATCAATATAGCCAATGGTTTACAGAATACCACAAATTGTATAAATAATAAATATACATTTGCTGAAGATGTCAAACTTGGTAAGTGATCATTTTTATCTACACAAGACTTTTCTGACTGAATTGATTCCAGTGGAATCTGTGGAGGTTTGTGAAATTGATTATAATGAAATTATGGCCTGGCTAGCTGCATTGCAGTAGTGACTAACGTTTAGTGGGTCCTCGTGTCCATTCGGAACCCATCAAACTTGCGTTTCAAACATAACATCTGACTAGCTACCTTATCAGATACCTAAGTGACTCAACACAACTCTCAACAACCTGGAATATACTTCTGGATGCACGAAAATGAATAAACACAAATGGATTATAGATGATTACAAAGTTATGTGTGAATTTAAAAAAATAAAACAATTTCAGCAGATGGCATAATCACGAGGAGTAATCTTATTTGCAATATTACCAAAATCAAAAAACTATCCTTGTGTGTAAACAACGGCTGAAATGCAATTGTATAGTTAATTGATCTATGCCACAGTGCAAGAACTTTTCACTCGTTACGTAACTGATAATTAGAGAGATTTTCAATTAAATTCAGTGTCAGACTAGAACTCTGTTATATGTGTGTTGCAACCATATTTGAAAAGCAAGTCGCATGTGGAACAAATGTTAACTCTCAGTTTACATGAAAACATAAGATTGTTGGAATACTTGAAATGCGAAAATTTTAATTATTTTGTGAAAACGTTGCCTGATCGCCTAACTGACATGAAGCCAACATTCCACGACTCTGTGAATTATTCGCATATATTAGTGTGGTAGTGTTCAGTCCTTTACCAACCTATTCTCAATTTGGCTAATGGAGTTATCAGTGAATGAACGTGTACGTGCGTATGTATCCCAGCCAACTCACTTAGAGCACATTCATGATTTCATTGACTAACTTGTTTTCCTGACTTGTCATCTACCTTGAACGTCAATATCATTCAACCTACTACTTGCATGCAGTGCCACTGAGACACGTATAATTGTGATCCGTGAACCTTCTTGTCATCTTTCATCTGCTAATAGCCAAGAAACTACTGAACAGCATAAAAGTCTAAATACCTACCTAACTTGATTTCTCAGGTTTCATGAATCAAGCTCAAGCGAGGGTTGGAATGGTTTGGCTATATAAACCCCGATATTACCCGGTGACTTCAGGTACAAAATAAAAAAATCAAACATTTGAATTGCCTTCATTACATTACTACCATTCACTCCTTACGTTCTGAGTGGAATTTAAGGCTTCAGTAGCACATACATTTCCATCCCACTTGGTTCCCTGCCATCACTTTCTGCTGGCCTTACAACATGTCGGATTTCATCAGCCTCCTGTTGTTTTCTTTGCACTTTATTCCCTCAGATGTTACATTTAACCACTAGACACAATGCACATTAGTCGGGATTTTGTATCATTTATAGCAATAAATCCCTTATCCATTGACATTTTGTCTACCTTATCATGAATTTATATTACGTGAAATTATAAAACACATTACAATTTTTATTCGTCATGATCCTTTTATGAATGTTACAGAGTAATAATCTAGTCTACATTTATTCTTATTTGAATTTCAACTTAAGGTCTTTGCGCTGAAGCTACACACGTCAGCGTAGTTGACAGTTTAGATGCAGAAGGCCGTGAATGTTTCCATCCTTTCTCTCCCTCCAGTATGCTTACAAAAGATCCCAAAGGTTATCCTGACTGGTTTTTAAAGTATAATTACCATAGAATAGATACAGTAAGTTGTCTCTCTGGTATATATAAATTATTTTCAGTATATATCAGATGTGTCATTGTTTCGTTTATTGTCACGTGACTTGACGATAACCAGGAATAGTTTCAATAGCATCAGCAGCGACAAGATTGTTTTTACTATTAGGTAATCAAAGATATAAAAGCGTTCTCTAATGGCATTGTTTCTAAAGCATAGGTAACGACAAGTTTATGTGCCATTACGTTGAATATTAACAACACTATTGATTAAAGTAGTCATATTCTCAAATATTCATGTGGCTATAATTTATTGGATGCAAATCACTGTAATTTATCGTTATCACTGAATACTTTTCTACTGAATCGTTTCACCAGTCTATTATTTGGTGCAATAAAAGTGAAGATATTCTAGCACGTATTCTTGATTCATCGGCTCCCAGTGTACAATACTTTACAAAAATCAGATATGCTACATTAACCTTAGGGATCAGAAAGGTATGTGCTTTCATCAAGTTATCTGTATCATTTGAAACAGAAACCATGAAGCAAAATATATGATGTTAAATTAAAATATCTTAACCATGCAAATGCACCAAAAATGCAGTAAGAAAGTAATGAGTCAATTTTAGGTCGTTTAAGTAAATGTGTGTTTACATTTTGGGTTTGTAAGGGTTTTCTCTAGTTCGGAACTCCAAAAATCCCACTGGATAAGCTCAATGATTGCATTGGTTTGAGATGACTTTGTGTTGTGAACTGACAGAGGTTGGTGTTCAGGGGTCATAGGATTCCATCACATTGGCTGGTCTTTTATTGAATTTCCCTCATGATCCTAAGATCTTGGAAACTATTCCCGACGAAACTTAGATGTGTGCACTGCTGAAAAATTTCAAACTATGACGAAACATCTGCTCAGCGTTCTTGAATAGAATTGTGTTTTACGGCTTATAGTTGTTTAATTGTATGAGGATTTCATCATGAGCTGACATCAGTTAGAGAACCACTGGAAAACCTGGGAGTACTGGACAGCTGTATTTAGATAGATTAATTTACCATATCGAACATGATTGTGCTAGTTTAAGTTTCTATCTCTTCTAAACTCTTAAAAATATAAGGCGATTGGAACAGACTAATGTCATAACGAATAAACAAAAGGTGTGAGAGAGGCGAAAATATTACAATTAAGATTTATGGGAATACTTAGTTCGTGAAAAATTCTAAAGGGTAAATTAATATATCCGAGACAGTGTGATAGATTTTAGACTTGACTAATTATTACACTTTCTTACGTAGCACTAACCAACAAACGGGGAGTGGATAAATTTATGGCAAACTTCAATCTGAAGCTTTCTGTTTTTGATAAGTTGGTGTTGATATTGAATTAGTTTGCGTATTTTATGCATCATTCATCTGTACTAATATTAACGTCCTTTGTGGATAATGTATTTCTGCTTCCACCTTTACACTACAGATATTATTCTCTACATCATACTTAACAGCCGACATTGAAACATCATGTAGTAAATCAGACTGCATTGTGTTGCATAAGGGTAGCTGGTTCGCGTTCCATCTGGCTTGGTTTTTATGAAATTCTATTCACTACACATATCTGTCACTGACTATTATGGTCAGTAGACTTGCCTTTCTATACAGTATACAGAAATTGTGTATAGGCAGTTCAGTGGTAGAATGCTCACCAGCCACGCATGTGGTGCAAGTTCGGTTCCTGGCCGACACAGTCCCAAACCTCGCCTAGGAAGCAGTAAGGCCAGTTAAGAGGGAAGGTTGTTCGTGAGGCTAGTAACTCTACCCCATTAAAAAACACTGCCACTACTAGAACTTCCATGCTCAAGTTTGAAGTCCTCTTCTTCAATCGGGATGCAAAGGAATGCTTAAAAAAGCAAACCACCGAAAAGAAGTTCACTTATCTGTCCATCATTTGAAGTTACTGTACTTGTTAATGTCACAGTGAAAAGATAGACACGTTATGGTAACTCACTTGTTCATAAGAGTAAATCGATAACAGACACACATATGCTATTTAAGAAATCGGGTTTGTGTGATTTGAGGTTACTTCAGAGTTGATTTCCTCACAAAAAGAAATTAGGTGGAATACAAATCAAAGCCAAAAGAGTGATAGACAACTGTAGTGTTGTGCACCACCGATGGGTTGCAAACTTGGACAACACGACTTCTTCCAACTCACTACTGTTTTTCAGTAGTAGTTGTCAATCTTATATAGGCTGAGATGTTTTTAGTGAACAAACTGTTATTATAGAGTTGATCGTGAGACTATATCTGGAGTAGACTTGGGTTGGCAAACTACTAATGATGTAATTTGTCGGACTAGTTAATCGGGTGAAATGGAAAAGGCTGAGTAGTTTAAGTGCTTAGAGCCAATCTAGCTATTGACCTCGGCTCCAAACAAGCGAAACAACTGTCGGATGTTAAGATCGTGTCGATGGAGGAAGCACTGTTAACTATGATACATGACTAGTATGGCAGTCTACAAATTGATTGTCATCTCCATCCTGTTAACTACGACTTGCCAATTATTCTCTCATGTAGACACTCATCACTTAGATCTAACTGCTTATGTTCGTTATTCTGTTCTCCATTTTCTTCGTGTAAACATGAGTTAAATTAAAAATATTTTATTTGACACGTTAATAGTGTACAGCATGCGCTTACATCTTTGTTTGAAGAACAACTGTCTCGTACTGCCGGGTGTTGTACTTATCTAATGCTTTTATATTTCAGAAACAGAAAAAGTTCAGTGACAAGTCTCTCGTGCTTTAATTTTAATAAATTGACTCACACTTTGTGTGGTTAGCACTAATTATATCGATAAGAGAAACCATACGTTGGTCATCTTAAATAAACCAAAGTCTATAATTCATTGCATGACGTAGCTTTAGGACACTGAAATTGGAACGAAGATGTAAGTCACAGCATGTTGGAATATCCATAGAGTTTAGTTCGAATCCGGTTGTGACACTGACTTCTGTTACAATTTCAATCATTATTCTCCTATAACTGTAAGAAGATTGTGTCAGTATAATAGGCGTTGAGTACTGCATAAATTCCAGTATCTCACTATCTGATGTCAATTTTATAAAGAAATAAATCCATATTGATGTATGAATTGTGTTAAGTAATCGTATGTGTGTTTCTCTTCTTTCACTATTGTTTCCAGGGTTTCGACTGCTGCAGTGATTATGCGGTGTCTTTTCATTACATAACACCAGAAGAAATGTATCTCTTTGAATATATGCTCTACCATTTACATCCATATGGTATACATCGAGATTTTATGGATTTAATGAACTATTTACAGAAGAAAAGTATTTCTTAGCGTATATACATTCAATGTATAAATAGACAACTAGCCTTCTTCTTTACCTTAGCTACACTTGTGTTATTTTACTGTTTAATATATTTCAATTTTATCACAGTACATATCATTAAATGAATTTAAGTCACATTCATGATCAGGGAATTTCTAAGCTGATCAAGGCCATGACAGGGCATGTTAAGTAGATTTCGGCCTAATATTTATTTGCTTTATTTTTCAAATTGTAACAAACTATTTATGTACTGCCTTCTATTTTCTTTATCTATTTTTTTCTTACTGGTTCCTTTTATAATATTGAGAAGTATTGTGTACAGACTACTGTGTGCCTGTGTACGTGTGAGTTTTATGCGAGGTGATTAGGGCTTAATTTCTATAAGGCATTAATGTAATGATGTCTCAGTAATGTGTATTGGTCAACTTGGCTTGTTTCTACATGTTTTAATAGTATTTGTATTTGTACACACTGAATAAATTTACTGCCCTTTCCTATCTGTTGTACAAAAGAAAACACATGTATCTGCGTGGATGTACATAATGTAGATAATGGATAAATAAAGATGTTTTTTTATGATGGTGTAAATGTTTTTACTCACGGCTTGACGTCAACATCCTGTTCAACTCATTTAGAAACAATTTGTGGTAGTACATAAGCTACGTAAACTGTTTTAGCAGTATGCTGTCTAAACTGAAATACGCCGTATAACCTTATGACAATGGGATTTTTGAATGAAACATAGATAACGGTTTTTGCGGAATAAGATGGCCTCATCCTTTACTTCGTTGCCTTCTCGTCGGTGAGTTACTGCTTAAAGTTCATGTAGAAAGAGAACAAAAGTGTATCGCACTATCGGTGAGACAACTTCTTGCTGTCAATATGTTGATGAGACATTTGTAGAGTATGTGACAGTGAAAGTCATGCATCCAAACCACTGGAACTATTTTTTGACGCACAAAAAGACATTGGCTTCACTATGGCAAATGAAAGTAACGGGAGGTTTCATTGACGTCGGCATGCAACGCTTGAGAGATGGTGGTGTCCGGAAATCTATTCAGTGAAAGCCAAATTGGAGTGGACAGTACTTGAACTTCAATAGATTTTGTCCAATTAACAATAAACCAGCATTGGTTCTGACTCTGTTTTACAGAGCCAAAACATAATGCTTGACTAAGAATTTGAAGAAAGAATTCCTGGTTTCTGAGGTGTTAAAAAATAACGGTTACCTTCCGAAATTTATTAACAAACATGGAAGATGTGATTTAAGTGCAAAACAGATCACAGTGAAAAAGAAGCCTATTCTCACAGAGTTTGATCTTAAAGGTGACAGTATTGCAGGATTAGTCAACAGAAGATTGAATACTTCACTAGCCAGAACCTGTGCCATAGCCAGATTGGTTCCCGTTTATCCAATGAAAAGCTCTTTGATGTAATCACAGGCCAACAGATGCCCTTCTTACTTTAGCTGTAATTGTGCGTACAAATTTACATGTATTTGCAGTTGCACTTACATTTGGAAAAAAAAGAGAATGACACACCTTTGATTATCTGGGAATATACCAAAAAACCTACGATTTCAACAGTGCTACTGACAGGCACTTCTTTGATATGAGTCATGAAGTGGACACCCTGAAATCCTTTAAAATTATCAATAGGTAATACAGTTCATTGCTTCTCGGCAATTGCTATCAAACATCTAAAACCTGATTTATATGTTCAGAAAGAAAGAGTTATCAGTCTTTCCTTGTCCTGGTAACTCGATGTCTTTACTCCCCATTTGGTTTTATTACGCATTCTTTAGCTTCAACCTCTTTTCCTTTCGTTATTATGCGATTTCCCCTGTCTTTTTTTTCTGTGATTTCAGTTGGATTCATCACATTATTACTCAACGTGTTAGTTACTCATCATCCAATCCACCTCCTGTCTTGATTACGCAAATCTTTTTCCATTATGTCCAAACATTTACTATTGTCCTTCGATTTTGTTTTCTTTACACTTGAACCTTCTGTGTATGAGTAGAATTACTGAGCACTGTTTCTTAATTTTTGAGTCTCCTGCTAACTGACATCATGTCACCTTCACAGGCTTGTCAAAATTGCTCTGTAAGTAAACTTAATTGATGTTGTTCTGGGCTGTTAGCAGCCGATGAGAAACTCACGAAACAAACGATATCACCCTCTTATTCACCACAGACTGTTGTTTTTCGATTTTATTCAAATTAATAAGGGGGAATAAATGTACAAAATCAGATTTTTATAATCTAGTCGTCATGGGGTGGAGTTACTGATAGCCTTTGTTCCTTCCTATTTGATTCAAACGCACTTTTCATCATGTAATATATTTTTTCTTCAGATCGAAATTCGATTCTCATCACTTCCAACACACAAGCATTGTAAAGCATAACACTTAGTGAGAACATACTTTACGCGTTATGAAGTTTCTTATATATAATATATATATATATTATTTGTGTGAGAGATGGACACAGTTGTTTATCGAGGGTAAAACAGGACGTTCAACAAAGGCCAGTCACCGTTTCTACTAATCATGAACAGGTATTGTGAAAATGTAAGCAGAACTAAAACTGAAGTTAAAGGAGGTTCTTTATTGAGTCGACACTGACAAGAAAAACAATCAATCTCTGTTTCATTCAAGTTGAAGAGTTTTCAAAAGAATACACTAAAAAATCCACCAATGATAGAATTCAAGACAATCCCGCTACGTTACAATGACTCCACCGTGACTATGAATTCTAAATCCTTCCAACTTCTGTCTGAATATCAGTCTCCTGTTCATCAATAGATAACTTCAAGATGAATTCTCTGAAGCTCTGATGTAAAGCTGTAATGGATGGAGTTCATCAAATCAAGTTCTTGGAATGTAAATGCATCGATGACACTTGGTGGAAGTAGAGCTATGTGAAAAAATTGTCAGGCATTTGGAAGTCGCACGTCATGGGATTGTGACTCAGCAGTCGAAGAACAGTGAGCTAATTTTGCGAGCTGATGGTCCTTAAGTTTAACTGCTAGCAGTAGTGTTTCAGATCATTAGAAACAACAGTCTGTTCACTCCAGTTATCATTTCACCGTTTCGCCAACCAACCATTGTCGATTTATTATAAAATCTGCTTTGAAATCTACCAAATTCTTATGAACCTAGTTCATATGAATAAGTATATTGTGAAGTGTTTTTGATCTGGCTGGGTTTTTCCTCAGCTAGATGGTTTAACTGAGAAGCTTTTATTCTTCATCTAGACACCTTCAGTGTTTGCTTCACAGAGCACACGGGCACAACAAAGATTCCAGCAGAGCTATAAATCTTCTACACTACTGTGGAGTATTCTGCAGAGAATTTTTATTTTTTAATTTTTTTATTATAGCTTGAAACCACACAGTAATTTGGCACAAGTATGGAATTTTCAGCATGTGATATCAGTAGCCCAAATTTAGCAGGCCGACCATAGATATCAGGTGTGCGTCGGCAGGGGGTCGAACCCTGGACCATGTGCGTGGTCGGCGAGAATCCTAACCACTGTGCCACCGACCTAGAATGTAATTCAATCGAATTCAGTAATTCGATGAAAACAAATTGGAATTCCAATGTTAAATAAGTTTATTTGTTCGTTTCTAAGTAAATTTATATATACCGCTATTTTGTATTGAGGTGTATGCAGGCAATTACACTATAATGGTGCATCCTAAGATAAGTGGATTGACAGATAGATGTAAACGAAGAAACAAGCTGATAGAACAACGATTAACATAAAGAGACATAAACACACCGACAAAGAAAATAATAATAAAGTGCATTGGTTTAACAATCAAGCACTGAAAAGTAAAAATCAAAAAGGGGTGAAAATTTCATGGTTCGAGAAAATGAACTTGTAAATATTTAGACAATACACTTGTTCATATTGAGAAGTATATTACTGGAATTCATTCTGTCTTTGCTTATTTTTTTGTGTGTATGACTTTCTTTACAAATCTTTTTCTTCTTCTCCGTTTCTCTGCAACCCATTTTTCATAATAATGTTCTCTGACATTCACCTATGAGTGAATACTCCGTTTTATACATATCTGGCGCTGCATGAACTAAAGCTGTACCAGGATCTTTAAAGGAGAAGAAAAAACAACAAACAGAAAATAATAGTATATATATATATATATATATATATATATAAACAGTGGTTTGATTAATGGAAGATATACCTTGGCTTCCGTCTCTTGCCTTCTGTTGTTACAATATTATGTATCTCCTAGGGTCCGGTGATAGGAGCCAGCATAAAATAGTATATCATTCTTTCTCACGAATCTTGTGATTCATCTTGTGATCCATCATTTCTTATGTATATTGTGACTTATTGTATGATCAATTCATCATCCGTTGTCTCACCTTGGTCTTTGCCGGATTGCCAACCAATGAGAACAGCTATTGCCAGTCAATTGGAACAATCTATTCCTACGGCTGTGAGCCAACTTTATTATGGTAAAGAAAATTTATAAATATGTGTCGTTTCTTAATAAACGTACAGTAGCTTACAGTCACAGGCCAGCCTTTGTCTTTTGACATTTGCGTGACTCAGTGAAGTGGAGTGTAAAACAAATGAATAGGCGTAGTGGCGTACCAGTCATGTACATTGCTCTTATAACAATTAGCGGTGCGGATATAACACTTTTCCCTTGAGCTACACCAGTTCGTGATGGAAGTAAACTATGCACAATTAAATCCGTCAGTACATTTGTGAAAAATTAAATTAGAACGGTGGACATCACTGATCATCATCACTTTGGATGTAAAGTCTCAGTAAGTTCTAACGCGGCTGGATGATTTCTAGTAGAATGCCCTCATTAGCATAACATATTTCGATTCGTTCCCCACACAGTCACGCCCTTTCACAGAATCTCTCATTCAATGAAGTTGGAAACCGCCCTTGAGTTAAAAGATTCGGCAAATTTTAGACACTTAACATAATGTCCTTGTTCAAAAATCTCCCTCAGAGTGAGCATTTGATCAATGTACCCTCGCCCTAGCCTGAAACCTGACTGATCTTCTTGGATTTGTTTTGCTCGAGCCCCACTTTATCCCCATAATACTGCAGAACTTAGGATTTTAGGTATTATACTAATCAAGTTGACTGACAAGTGAAGACACCCTGTAATTTATAATTATATTTATAATTGAAAGTTCACAGTGAAACCAGAGGTGGAATTCTACCGTAGTTTCCTTTGTAAATTGAAATTACTCAGATCATATATTGTAATACAAGTGGTTGGAAATCACTCATATAATGCTGTTGTGCTTGCTAACCAAACCGAAATGATCAGTTCACCGGACTACCATTTCTGTCGTTTGCAGCCGAACTCATCAGCGGTGTACTCAGTCTAGCTTAGGCCACAGAGTCGAATCAATTCAAATGATCTAAATGCTGGCTAGCTATTTGGGTTACTAATGGTTTATATGACCATTATCCAACTGCTCAAATCAATTAGGAGTACATACCTCCGTGTACCGAAGTTTACTGTTAAACTTTTAACTTGTAGACATTTGAGGATATCTTAAAGAATAATATGAAGTTTTCTGATGATATAAACACTTCACTACTCATAACCAACTATCAAAGATAAAACAGTACCTGGTAGAGTGTATGGTGTATCCACGGGACAGACTAAATCAGCTTTTCTTAATATACTGTTCGGTTGTGCATATTCTGATTGATAAGTAGTTTCAAGACCTCTATAAAGCAAATAAAAGAATCACCTTATCAAAAGTGTATTAAGTAGTAGTAGTAGTTGTATTGAAATAGCTGAAAACTAGTTGAGATAAGGTTGTTTGGAAAAGCGAAAATGAGCTATGAACTGGTGCTTTTTGCTGTGCGGTAACTGTCAATATGACGTAAGTACATCATCGAATGGGTTAATGTTTTATCACAGTGATTTGAACTCAGCTAACACTGTCCTGCGCTCAATTACCGTTATTATCGTTAAAGTATTTAGACAGTGACTAGAAGTTATTTGTTTAGTAACAAGTAACTTCAAGGCATTAGTCACGTAAATATAAAAGCATCCGTTCAAAAGACCAATATATCCAAATAGAGATTAGTCAATCAACAGGAAAACATAAGCCTGAATAAAAAATATTTAGATAGTGACTTATCAAGTGTATGACTCGGTTGAAGATAGGTATCATTCTCTGACCAGCAAAGTTAAATGGAGATGTCAGGAATCATGAGTTTAGTGCAAACAGTTCACACATGAAATAAGAAAATTCATTATTTGCGAATAACACAGGTGGACTTGAAACTTCAGTACAGTTTCCTTATAAAATCCAGAATATTCAGAGCACAATAGGTGACTTGGAGCCTTGGGGCCACAGACTGTACCATATGGTGCTTAGTACTGGTTGATGTAAGTAGTTGTGAACAACTCACGACACCACGTTGAGTCTACTAACTAAGTAGCTCTCCAGAATTTGGATGGTCTGGACTGATTCAGCTATTTGACCTGAGTCTAATTGCATACAACATTGATGCGCCATGTCCGAAATAAGTGAAAACATCATTACCAAGGTCTATTACTAGATATGAGTGGATTTCAACTACTCATGTCAATTAGTAGTATGGACGCTTCAAACCTGGATCTTCAACTACAAAGGTGACAGTAGAATTAAACAGAAACGAATCATTAGTGTTGCACATAGACAAGGAGTTTGGCGAAAATTTGACACGACAATTTAAATATCACTATATATCAGTAGATCAAAAAGTCGTGAAGTTTCTCAAACCTCTCTGAATGCGTCCTGTGATTGACTACATATTATTAGCAAGGTTGATTGATAAATCAGACACCTCATGATGTTATTAGTTTAGACTGGGCAGGGAAAAATGAAACTTCCAAACCTACATTTAAATCTTATCTGCAAAATAATGAAAAGATCGGAGTATTATCACATTGTTATTGGAAAATAAGTTCTCAGGTTGTTTTTCTTTTCATTCTTCACCTTCCGAGTAGAAAATATACATTCAAGCTTCTTTTGAAGTTTTAGCAGCGCCAGTATTGTTTCTAGAGAGATGGGTTACTGGTCCCACACATAACTTTCCTTCTCTTTCGGACTTACTACAGGCCATTAAACTAGGCGGATTATCAGTTCACTAGCGAGGAGACCGGAGTTCCTGTGTGGCTGGAGAGCACTTGACAAATGAACCACTTAAGTCTGTTACAATAAAAAGACGTTGCAAAGGATAAATATTCATTTCACTACTCCAATAAGAAGTACAATTTATGTTATTTTTCTTAATATCAAGTTATCTGAAATAGTTAACAGACCATACAGCATAATACAGTCTTCCAATTATATAGAGTCAGATCATGAGTTGGGAAGATTGGTGGACACATTCAAACATGCTTTATGAAAAGAGAGAGGAGATTACAACTGAGCAATTGAAAGGTGATGTGTTCCCCTTGTAGCCTAGCTTTCCTCAGTTGTTTACCGCAATGTTATGAATACCTACTCTTGAAGAGTTCTAGAATATAACAAAGTAAGCGCCTAGTATCCTGAAAATTCAGAATGCACGAGAATTCCATAAAATTCTTGAAACCAATAACCACGTCCTGAAGGTTATGCAGTGTGTGCATGAAAAGCGCCAGTGAAACAATATTGCTTTTACCACATACTCATACTACTTGTATAATTTAAGTAACTAAACACCGTAAACAATCAAAAATGAAAAACTCACGTATGTGGTACATGATAAGAGATTGGTCGCACACGTACATGATCTGTGGCATACTTGAACTGAAGTGTATCACGCATAGGCAGTTTTTCATTTTTAATACCATCCTTAGGCAATGGACTGTGTGGAATAAAAAATTCTTTAAAAAACTGTTCTTTTTAACAAGCAATAGGAAATTGAAAACAGTTAACAATTTAAAAATGTGGAAAGAATTTGGTCACTGTGACAGAATGCAACTCCATAACAGAATCATTCTATTTTATAGAAACACGCAGTGGTACAGCATCATTTACTCACTTGATAATGTTTTGAGAACAATGTACTGATCAAAATGATATCAAGGTGCTCATAAAACTTCTAAACATTTTTAAATAATTCCATGATTTCTTATCCTTTGAATTTATCGGTAATAATAATTCCAATGTCACTGGTATCGGTAACCAAATTCGAAAAAAAACTCAACAATCACAGTGCATATACTTATACAACACGATCACACAATAGAGTGGGACGGAACTGCACTTCTAAAGGGTAATGCAATTAGATGGTGTGAGAGGTTGACCAATGAATCCCTCTCTGTTCATCATCGAATTTGCACCTAATATATGCAATGAGAGTGACACAACACCGATACCAAAGGTATATAAAATGGTATTACCAATGAAAACATACGGTAATAAACAATAGAACTACATAAACAAAAACTCGATGTTAAATGAGCACTATGATATGATTATGAACAATAGATTGTGCTCGAAACATCGTCAGTAAATAAATAATGCTACATCACTATGTTGTTCATCAAGTAAAATTATTCTGTTATTATGGAAGATTTATATTCAGTGGTTAGAAAGGCAACAGAAACGTAGGCCTCCTTTTCAGTCGTTTTTGAACATGTGACAAATTCGACCACTTCTGTAGGTGTAGAAAGTTGGATATAATCTTTGATTGGGATACAAGTAGACATAATGCACACAAAGGCTAGTTCTGCTACATAGTAGTCGCACTTCAAGTTTTCACGTTGAGTATGAAGTGATAAAAAAGAGAATTCATGGAAATGGACAAAGCATACAGTAGAAGATGGAAGAAGTAGACGAAGGACGTATATAAATAAGTAAGTGAATAAATAAATATGACGTTTCGATTAGAATTATGATTACAAATCATTTTTTCACGAGCACTGCAGCCAGGTGAGCTACAATCAATCACACGAATCAAACTAAGAGTAAATTATTTAGTAAACTGATACCATGTTATGGTCTAACAAAATGTCAGACTTCCCCAACCCTATCCCACTTTAGTTATATAATATGGGGAGTAACAAAAGTTTCGTCTGGAATTCGGAATACTATATCAACTTTGGACAAGACGCCTGATTGACAGTCGTTATACATGGATAAATATATACGAAATTACAGGATTTTGGTTTGAGGTATTCTAGTTCAATTGCTCACAATAAGTGTAAAAGCAGGGTAAGGAAAGTTGTTACAAGGTAAAGGGTATCAACTGAGATGGGTAAGTTGGTTGAAGCTGCGAATCTACATGTTTAATTTAGTGAGTCAAAATAAATAAATAAATAAATTTTTAGTACTGAGACCAGTTTAGATTCCTTACTATTCGTTGGAACTGAGCACATATTTTGAAGGACTCATGGAAAGTGTGGTCTGTTTGTTAGATTTACCAGGATTTAAGATACGTTTGAAATTTAACTAACGAATCCATTATGATAAATTATTAACTTATATATATAAATAAGTGCAAATTCATTCACACTTATCATGTCAGATGAGTGATTGCACCCGTTATCACAACCAACCATATACATAAATTTGAAGCTCAGAAGCTCATTTAGAGTCGAGTACGGCAAAGTTATTCTTTTGCTCTTTAGGAGTCAACAGGAAATTGTCTGTATTCTGCCTGTGAAACACATAACATGTTTACAAGATCTTAATCAAAACAGTTGATATACTGACTTTTTTATATGTTTGTAGTTCAGTTGTACGTGAGTGCTACCTATTGGGTTGGGACTGCAATTTCTACTGAAACTCCATGAAAAGCACAGAGAACTAACTTTATATTTAACGATTCACCTATTCAACCAATATGCGGTTCCTGCGTATATTTTCTGAATACTTCGTGATTTGACATGAGTTGTCACAGTTCCAAATAACTTAAAATTTCGTGAAGAGCATAATTTTATGCATTTCTTCAATTTTCACTCTAGGTTTAGTGTTTGTGGACATTAATGTAACGACAACAATTAACCCCTTAGAAGACTGATATATAACAATAAGCTTTGTACTAAAATGTAATTATGAAGTGATACGTGGTAGATTTATTCTAAATATACACTGGTCAGTTCGTTTAGGGCGTGTTTATATGATGAATTAAGTGTTGGGATTAAGTTTTAAATTAATTAAATTCGAGTATTCGACGCTTGTTTTGCTTCACTTATCTACGTATTGGATAATATACTCTTTGATTGAGAAACAATGTTCTTAGTTCTGTAAACTTTACTGCATCGAAATACCTATTCTATTTTTGGTGGTTTCTGATACCTAAAACAAATGAAGTGCTTTTTAATATCCATATGGAATTCATAACTTTCAAGGACTAATACAACATGGAAGTGATCAGTTGATTGTCCAAAGCAGACTTGGAGGAGAAAGCCTTGGGCAGTCGTAAATCCAGCTGAAGATGAAAATGGAGAATGGATATGTGCTGTCGAGGCCCATATTTCATCCACAACACGTGAAACTAATAATAGTATAATAAAATGTTTAAAAACAAGGTGGTTTGAAGATGACTCACTTCGGAGATAATCCAAAACCTTTTGACTCAGGGTATTCTTTCGAATTCCAGTAGGTTGCTATTCTATTTTTCGCCACATCGTTTAGTTCTTCGCGTGTCCACATCCTGTGATCTTTCATATTAGTTGTGAGATACGGATCTAGATTCCTTAATATCTCCTTATCTTTAGGATACAATATTCTCCTAGATAAATCCGGGTTTTCTGTGGATGCGATAATTTTCTTAAAGTTCCAAGTTATGGTGGGAAGGATTTACCTTTGATGGTCCATCTTTATGGTGATCTTCCAATTCAAAAGGTTTCATTGATAAGGGGCGCCACAACTCACTGGGGCCTTCAGCACCTCTGAATGAATCTTTCATCTCTGTTGTTTGTTGACTTGGACTTAGAGGCCTCCTATAGCCCCCGGCAAGATATCGCGAACGAAAATCATTTATGTAATGAAGATCCCAGTGGTGAGGCGGAGGTGGATTGTGTGAACTCTTGAGAATTTCCGGGAGAATCTTCTGATCATGGACAGAACTATTTGTTGTTTGAAAGTGATCCGCAGCTTTCACTTGGGACTCATTTTCTATACCACAAGGCTCTACATTGTTAAGTTTCAACTTAAATGTATGATAAATAATCCAAATATATTCTACAGTACCATGGTGATAGAATCTGGAAAGTAAAATCCAGGTCTCCAATGGTGTCCAACTCCATATGATGTCTTGAAAAGATCATCATTTTTCAAACCATCTGAAAGATTCTGTCTTTCATTTAAGTTAGGCATAATTTACACACTCCTTGTTGACATAACAACCGTTTAATCCAATATCCAATATCGTTTTTGATTGGACTTATCCGGCATGTTGGTTGAAATTTCGCTTGGCAAATTATTTTTGTCAATAATTTGAAAAAAATGTGTTATTTTTTTCTGGATTGATAGGAATTCTCATTTCCTGGCTAGTTATGTTGGTGTCTGCGTCATGTGATCTGACTGCGACACACTCTTAGCACATTGGTTGCAGTGATTATTGTTTCAGGTGGACTGTGTCAAAATATCGGCATAATGAGGAAGATGGGATAGTTGGAGGATAATGTGGCCAAGTTAAACTTTAAGCACCACTAACTACCAGTCAGCGAGTGACCTCATGAGGTTCATGCAGGTGACTTCAAGGTTGTATTCCGCTTAATTCGTATCAAATACGTGCTCTAACGAAGCAACGCTTACAGTTCAATGAGGAAAAGGTTTTGCAGTATTGCCTGGATTTGGGTTTGCTTAGGAAGGAGAGGATTTATTCATGTGGAAGTGTAATGATTTTAAAAAGCTTTAGCATGTCGATTGATGGATATGTCCATCGTTTTGCAATTTGCTTGAGATGAGTTAGTATTAGGTAAAGTAAGCTGATGATTTTAATGTTTCGTAGGAACATTTTTGCGAGGTCGCATTTCTCCCTAACCCATATTTTGTTTATTTGTAATTACAGCCTGTGAGAGGCGCAGCTGCCTCGTGTCAACAGTTCAGTGTTACCAGCAGTGCAGAGATATCGGCTCATGGAAAGTGGAGAGAATTACTTAGTTGTTAGGCGGAAAAGGCGTCGTCGTACATGTGGACGGAACTGTCTTGTTGAAGAAAAAATACAACGGTGGACGTGGGTGAGTCAAAAATGTTTGGGTGATCGGTTTATACGACTGGTGAAACAGAGATCTACAGTACATACGGATGAATTAAAAGGTTATAACTCGCTGTCATTCTTTGGATATATTCATCACAGAGTGAACCATTCTAGTGATTTTGTAGATCCCATTACAGGGACACACAGGGACGAATTCTATGGAAGGATTTTGAGGAAGATTAAAAATCAGGATAAGGGCTATAAATGGATCTCAAAAGGATCTCATTTATAGTCATTTGGATGAATATGTACAGAATGTGGTGTAACTTTTCTATTGACACTTATGCCAAACTAGGAGAAGTTTCTGTCACATGTTAGAGAAAGTTACTCTATGTAACCGTTTTATGCAGTTTTCATGCTTTTTTTCATAAATATACGTTTTCATTAATCAAAATTACCTCTTTTATGTGATTGGTTCGTTGAAGGTCGTTCGGTGATTGGTAGTTAGTGGTGCTCAAAGTTTAACTTTGCCCATAAATAGCTGAAAAACAACTAAAACACTGAAAGCCACATGATAGCAGCGTTACTGTTACAATGGAATGAATGCACTGACCTAGTGGTAAACACTTTCGAAACCAATAAAATTACCAATTTTAGCAGGAACGGAAACAAAAATGAGGTGAAACACAACGTTTGTGAACAATGGGCATCAAGATAAGTTGTGAATAACTGCAGGATAAACGTAAAAGCCAATGTGTACATGGATGGTTAGGTAACGGCATTCCAACATGGCCGACCAAAATGGACGAAAGCGACCTTTAGGTGCCTAACTCTTCCAATGACCTGGAGCATGCGGGATAACTTAAGTCATCGTTTTTACGAGCTAGTATAAACCAATTTAATTTCTTTGTGCTCGCCTCTTGAATGTGAGGTATAGGTTCCTGATCTTTGGTAAACTTCTGCGTAGTTCGTCCCGCCACTCGACTGTCGTAGCTTTGGTTGACTCCAAAAGGAGAAGTGTTGGAATTAATTATATGTGGTTTGTAGTATGAGGTATGTTAAGACTGTTACTACTGTGAATGTAGTTGATCCTTTCACCAGTTATTCGTCCGGTATCGTCGTCAAAAGAAAGGAGATAATAATAATGATAGATATAATTAGTGAAGTTATTCAGACTAACAGAGAGAAAGAGAATTAAAGAAAACGAAACAACAGTCAGCTGATTAAATTTGAAGTTGATATATATATAAACATATATATATCGGTAATAATAACAAGTGTATTTAGAGTTGTCAGGAGAGTAAGACGGGAGAGAATGTAAAGAAACAAAACGACGAATTCAGTTGTCTACCCCTGAATGGTGTATGCAATTTTAAGGGGATAGGCCATTTGGACGCAGTCCTTGTGTCGCTGCATGGTTGTCCAGCCTTCGCTTAAAGGCGTCCACAGACGGTGCCATAGCTACATCTGCCGGTAAGGAATTCCAGGGACGGCAGACCCGCAGTGAAAAGAAGTGGGAGAGCACCCGGTTCCTTGCCCTCTGGTGAGCTATCCTTCTGGGATTTCCACGAGGAAGCCTATACCTACTCAATGGCAGAACACCTTTGTTTGGGTGATTCTGGTCATTTGTTATTTTGTAGGCAGTAATTAAATCCCCCTAAGCCGACGGTAGCTAAGTGTGAATAGGCCTAATTTCTTCAGCCTTTCATCATATGGTTTATTTCGGAGACCAACCACTCCTTTTGTTGCCCGTCGTTGGACTCTTTCCAAGAGGTTGGCGTCTCTTCTAAGCAGTGGGGGTGCAATAATATTATGCACTGCAAGGTGTGGTCTGAATTATGTTTTGTATAACCTTAGAAATAGCTAAGAAGTGAGTGCACCTAACTGTCTATGTGTAAAGTGCATGACTGCATATGCCCTCACTACATCCCATGTGTAATTTACGCTTGTGTCCATTTTTTCCATAAGAACTAGACCTAAGTTGCGCCCCGATCTTGCATTTTTCAGCCTACTGCGTAATTTCACTACTTTGCACTTTTTCAGGTTGAACGTCACACAACTGGCCACCGCCCAGTCTTCCAGAAGCTTCAAATCTGCCTGCAGCCTATCTGAGTCTTCCGAACACTTTACTGCCCTCCATATCTCTACGTCGTCAGCGTATAGAAGAGTAGGGCAGCTTAGATGGCATGGTAAGTCATTGATAAAAACCAAAAACATCTTTGGCCCTAGGTTAGAACCCTGCGACACTCCTGATGACGAGTCGTGCCATGATGATTGGACTCGATTGACCTTAGTGCAAAATTTCTTTTCAGCTAGGTAGTCCTTTAACCATGACAGAAGCAGCATACCTATACCTGCCTAACTTATTTTGTGTAGGAGAAGTTCATGGTAAACTGTTTCAAATGCCTTCTCAAAGTCTAGGAAGACCACATGGACTGGAACATTCATATCCATGATATCCAATCGTCCCAAGCTGGTAGTAGGTTTGTTACACAGGATCTGCCTTTCCTAAAACCATGTTGAGCTTCATGGAGCCTATTAGTCCTATCGAGGTGCTCCCTGATGCGATCAGCAATAATACCTTCCTGTGCTTTTGATACCACTGGGAATAGAGCTACTGGTCTATAACTAGTGGCATTTTGCCTATCCCCACCCTTGAAGATCGGAGAAAGGATGGCTCTTTTCCACTCCCTTGGCAGTTTCCCCAAATCCATCGAGTGGTGGGATAAGTCACATAAGGGCCTACAGAGAGCTTCGGCGCACTATTTCAGAACAGATGACCTGATGTTGTCACAACCTGGGGACGTGATACATTCCGTTTCCCAGTAGATGGCAGGAGGCATCTGTCATGTGATTGGGCTAATCAAATAGAGGTTACTATGAATGCATCATGATTTGAATAGAATAATGACAATGTAGTTCGTAGAACAGAAACATTCCTGTGTTTCTGATGTTTTCTCTTTTTAGTGATAAGATTCAGATTTGATGATATTAGATGGTTGGAGGCAGTCGGCAGGAAGCCTTGAACCTAGGTTTCATACTAGTTGGCACTCACCAGTCGGCAAGGCGTACCTGCAACCTTGAAGGAACTCATGTCCCTTCTGAGATTCGAACCCGCGTTATCCAGTGCCGCCTGCAGTCAGAGACGTTACAACTGAGCTATTCGGGCTTGCGATACGCATGAAAATGAAAAACCCTTAAATAATAGAGCTTTTCCTTGCAAATCCAACAATGAAGCAATTAAGGTCATAGACTTAGACGCATCTTAAGAGTTTTGCTCGCTAGACACATCATCACCATCAGCTGCGAACGCCACTACGAATGTTATGCAAAAGGCTAAGCTCGAGCATGTAACATTAAATATAGCGTCCCCAAGAAACACTGGGACTAGTATGAATACAAAACGAAGTAACGTAACCCTACCATCCAAAATACCTGTACTCAGACCCGTTACTGATAGATTTCACAGCAACAAACCCAGTAACCCTAACTTAAGAAGCTCTAAACCTACCATTAACCCAGAGAAACCGAATAAATCTTCATACTGCCATAAATATGACGTCATTGAAAAGAGAGGTAACCCGTCGATTCATCCAACACCGAACAAATCTTTATCCGATAGGCAAAACTGACGCTTGCTTACTAAAGGTGGCCTTCTGACTCACCACATCCCCAAAAACAACCGGATACAGACTACCCAAGATCACCGATGGGCTAATATTTACAAAAATAACTTAAACGCACAAAATATTGGTCATAGCTTCGGTGCGCGTAACTTTACTCCGCATATTATCCACAAGAAGTACCCACCTCCCCTTCATCCACTCTAAATTTTCTCAGCCAACACGAAATCTCAGCCCCAATATTGACGCAATTAGCACATATACTATCAAACCACTTGTCTCCAGAAGGTAGGGCGATGCATTGCAGTCACGGTATTATGAACACTTCACACTCGTCAAGGTAACCAACGATAGCGCCTCTCTCTGTGCTGATCCTGTAGTAGTGCACTTTTCCAGCACTGCCAGTAAGTTGCCGCCATCCGAGCTATCACCCATCGAACAGTCTACCCCAGACGCAATAAACCTTGAGGATAACGTTTTTAAAGATATGTGTGATTTCACCGTCATTCCTAATTCTCTCTCATTCTGTCTCCTCAATGCTCGCTCCTTACTCAACAAAATGTATGACCTAACGACATTATCCTTAATTTGCAGCCCGCG